AGAGTTCATGCCTCTGTTTTGAAATGTGCTGTTTAAATGGTACACAATGTGTGAAATCATTTGAGGTTGTCTCCAAGAAACCATCGTGAGTAATGGTTCTCTTTTTGTTACACATTAATCATACATACTGTCTGCAAGTGCATTTCAGCACTTTGCAAAGAACAATATATTATTCCTGCCTTTTTATTCCCTTCACAGGGAAATATCATTAGGATGCTGTATATTTTAGAACTATTATAACGAATCCATACATGTGAAATATATTACAATATGTGTGTGAAGTTTTTCTCCTCAAGCTTGTTTTCAGAAATGGCCAAAAGAAAAAAAAGTGTGTTCCCTTTACACCAGACTGATCTACATGTTGGTGGTAATATTAGCATTTGTTGCCTCAGGATGATCTTTAAACAGCGTTGCAGGTGTGATCCATATTTCTGTTTGCGTTAAATCCAGTAATTATGAAAATGCAGCTTAACAACAGACATATTATGAAAACGTACCTTTTGCATTTTTTTGTGCAGCCATGTGGGTCTCTGCTGCCTCTATAAACACTCCAAACCTGTCCATCTGTTTCTGTCAGTGTTTGGGTTTAGGAATAATGTGCCTCAAGCAAGCAGTTTCAAAAAGTCCCCAGTTGTGATGTCACAAACAGGGAAAATAGAATAAAGCCACCAACCAGCAGCTCTACTCTGAGCCCCTCCTAAACTTTGGAGCTTCTTAGCTTATAGCAGCCAGAGCGAGTGATGGGTGAACGTGGCCAGCTCTAGCTGGTTTTCCTAAAGGACAGAGCTCTGAAAGGGCCATTCTGGAAGGAGATGAAACTGTCAAAAATAAAACTGCAGAGATCCTTTCATGTGAGAGGGTTTTAGTGCAAATGACTTTATAAACATGCTTTGTATAGACCATAGTTCATGTGTAACTTAAGAAAAAAGTCCTAACATGCCTCTTTTGAAGGAGAAGTCTATTTTAAGTGGAACTTCTGCATCTTTGTGTTATACTGATATGACTGGCGTATCTCCCTGTCCATTACACCACATGGAGTCAGCTGTGATGATTCAGTGCAATGATTTGTGATCCTGTGAGCTTCAGTCAATATAGTTTTTACAACAGTAGTAAAAAAGGTCAAGTCATGATTGACCTCTTGTGTGTGCATGATATTTTGTTCACACTTCTGAGATATTTTGCATGTTATCACTTTGCTTTCTCATGTAAAATGCTATTTTGCTTGACCCTTGTTTTCTGGGCATCATCAAAGCAGGGTTGGGGTCGTGTGATGGACACGCAGATGGTGGTGAGATTGCCTCACAGGCACATGATATGTGGTATTTTTCCATCTCACTCCTACACTGAAGTCTGTCACTCACTTATAATGTACTGCTGAATGCACAGAGACACGCAGCCAGCAGCTCCCAATGCTTGGTGGATACATACACCAGTTTGAACTGTGAGATAAAAGACATTTGTTAGGTTTAGTTAAGTTGATTGATAGGTGAATGACCCCCTAGCCATGCATAAAATCAAACCAAGACTCTGCAGACTTGTGTGCATGGTAGAACACAGATAAAAGAACATGGCACAAACAGGCAGAGCTCACTTTATTATTTAAAAGAAAGAAAGAAAATCAACCAATCAAGAAAACAATCTTTTATATGGTGCCACTCAAGATACAAATCAAAAGGCGCTTCACAAAAGCAAAATATTTATGTGTAAAAAAGATTTAAAAAATTGTTAAAAATATGGGATACTTTGTAACTTTTTCCCATTTTTAAATAATTTTCTTGAGCCAGTATGCGCTAAAATGACCCTACAAGGTTAATGAAATGTCACTCTGACTCCTACCCATCGACATATAAATATTGGACAATGGGTTTCCAGAGGCTCCAATAGCACGTTTTGGAAGAAAAATGGGAGGTGGCCACCACCGCCATTTTGACCGTGTCACAGGTTCCGTCAAGCCCAGACAATTCCACAAAAGGGAAGAGAGGAGGAGCTGAGGGTGGGGCTGTAAGCCTGGGATCAACTGACGACACCCGGTCAAACTAGCTACAAGCTAACCTGAAGCTAACCCAAAGCTAACGCGGAGGTGGGAGCTAAGCTAACGGAGGTAGCAACCTAGCTACAACCGGAGTCAACTGTGCACAACACCAGAGCTTCTGAGTCAGAGATACGCCGGGCTGACCGCTGGGTAAAACCGGGTGGAACACAGAGGTCTCCCGAGAGCTCCACAAGCCGGCAGCCGCACAGCAGACAAGCGCCGCTGCGATCTGAGATGCGCAGAGCTGCCGCTGGGGAGAACCGGGTGGAAAGGTTTCCATCCCAGAGCTCCACAAGCCGGCAGCCCGCGCAGCAGTCAGGAGCCGCGATCAGACAGAGATGCGCCGAGCTGCGGGGAGGGGAGAACGGGTGGAAAACATCGGTCTCCCGAGAGCTCCACAAGCTGATAGTCGGAACCCAGCTCCACCAACATGTTATATTTCAACCCATTTTCTAAAGTGCAGCATTATGTTAAATGCACTGGGTTTTACCCTATTACATTTAAATTTCATGGTTAAACGGTACATGTTAAAATCTAAGCTCAGCTCGGCAGTGACCTAAAATACATAAATATAAATTTACTAACCGAAAAAAATGAAGTGGAGAATCCTTGGACACTCTATTAATGCAAATAATGCCACAGCAAGTCATTTTGTCCAACAATTGTACAAATAATATCCAAAAAAGAACGCACAAATGCTACAACTAATGGTCTAAGTTGAGAGACTGAAACTGACCGAACAGTTTTCAGGCGAGGCCGAGGCTCAAACTGAGGCCTTTCCCCGAAGCTAGCTCTGCGGTCACGTGGGTCTGATGCCCATTAATTATACAGAATTTTAGGCTTTTAATACATTGAAACAGAAGAGTGAGAAAAAAATTCACCCCCTCAGAGTTGTCATGAGTGTAAACTAGATAATTTAAACCAAAAACATGTTTTGGAACCAGGCTGTAAACATGTTTATTTCTGCTGTGAAATTGGTATTTTTAACATGGGAGTCAATGAGGATTTGCTCGCTTCTGACACCAGCCCCTAGTGGATGAGCGTGGAACTGCAATTTTTTTCATTTCCGCGTTTGCTTCAATTTTTCACCCGCATTGTGGGGGCTTGCTCCTACTGCCCTCTGTGGCCAGAATACTGCATTTGCAACTTCAGAGTGCTGGGCCAGCACCTGCTACACTTAAATAAGTTTCACTTTTGCTTTGACCACAGATAATAATGGACACTAGGGGGTGCTAAAAGCAAGAAAAAATTGCCAAGTGTGCCTTTAATACAGTGTTTCCCATGCTCTACATGTTTTCCATGTTGCCTTTTCAAACACCATGTATCCCTGCAGGCATCTGCAGCACTTGATGTCCTCCTGAGGAGGCAATGCAAACATTTAAATCAGGTGTGATGAAACAGAAATGGAAAACACGCAGGACAGGGGTTCCTGAGGACTGAAATTAAAAAAAAACACTGCTTTAATATAAAATTCACAGAGAAAACCAAATTTTTCTATCAGGGTCACTGTGGACACAGTCTCACATCAAATTAGGCTTATTTTACAGCAAATGTCAGAAGGAAATGCACAATGTAAAAATAAGGGTTGCAATCCATTTAGTAGGTTTACAGGAGAACCTGCATGCACAGCTGCAGGAGTGGACTGCAGGCTATGTATGCCTTCCCTATTCTTTCAGTCGAAATGTTTGTTCTGAACACGAGTAGTGATATATTGAGTCACAATGCAAAAGTTTTCACAATAAAAGTCCTAAAATGATCACATTTCTGTCAATTTTTTGTCAGCAGCCTGACAACGATTGTATAATATGGAGCTATACGAATGTGCCTGATGCATAAATACTCACAGGAATAGAGTTCTGGTCTTAATTTGAAACCATTTTCTAAATTTGATGTTTAGTAATTTTTTATTTTTTTAATAGCTGATTGGTTAGTTTATTTTTTTAGATTTCAGGAAAAAGGTTTTGGCATCTATGAAAAACAACTATTGACTTTATATCTTGCAGTGAGACAAAGTGTGTCTAAAGTCAGTGATTTTGAAAACAAGGCATCTCATTTTGTAACCTGACAGAACCAGAACCAAGTGTGTAAAATTAAACCAAACTGCAAAAAACATTTCATTATTGTCAGGAGTACTGTATGTAAAAAAGATGTGACGCTTAGGGCTAACCTTTGCTCGTCAGCCCTCCGGACTGGGTTGGAGGACATTTACAGCAACAAACCTATCTTATTTGTCTATGCAACAAACACACAAGTGTAAGGAAAATATTTGCTTATTGGCGAGTTTTCTGTCACCACTCGCGAGGGCAGGTCTCATGGACAGGAAGTCAGACTACAGCTGAGGCCTGAAGGTGTTCAGCTGGGTGACATTCGGGTGGCATCTCCTCTAGTTGTGGATTGTTTTAGCTGCGTTGGACCATGAACTAAAATGCCCGGCAGAGCGCTTTTCAATTGAATGTCACTTATGTAGGTTGTTGGATTGCTTGGTTCATGTTGGGGTTGAGGAGGTTATCCACAAGGCAGTTTTCAGCCAGTGAAAGGTTTAGTCCATGAGCACCCGCACAAAGGACCATGTGACTGGTCCCCACGATAAAAGGCTATAGGAGGATTCAAGATGGAAAAGACAGAAAAAATAAGTTTCACCTTTTCTCATATGTAGTCACAGCCAGAGAGCGCGAGTCTAGGGATGTAATCTGCTGAAATGAGGTTCCTGAACTTTATACTGTATTGCAGCCTGAGGCACACGAGGATTTTAGAGGACCTCATTATTCAAATCCTGGATGATTTCTGTCTAACATTAAATGCAAAGGTAAACCTATAGGAAACACAGAGGGATAAAAAGGGTGAGTTCTTGGTGTTTGGTCATGAAGAGCTGCAGATATTGTCTGAGACCCTGAATAGGATTTTATATATTTTGTTTAAACAACATGAGCATGTTTTCACATTTTTTTTCTGTTCTTCTTCCTCAAAGATAACCAAGCAGCAGCTTCAGCAGACCAAGGACCGCTTCCAGGCTTTCCTCAACGGAGACACACAAATTGTAGCTGATGAGGCTTTCATCAACGCTGTGCAGAGTTACTCTGAGGTAAAAACTACCACGTAACACAAATCTTTCTTTAAGCTTTAGAATCTGACTTACTGTTTGTTTGCTTTTTGCATTTTTGGTACACGCCATTTTTTTTACATTTGAATCCTGAACTCAGTAATGAAAAGCAGCTGCTGCTACATACTGTATTGACGACAGTCTCTTGATTCCATCTTTGCACAGTTTTAAATAATTCTATAAAATCCAAAAGCACTGCTCAGTCGTTGTGCCTTTCCATGCCAAAATGCCTGAATGCAGAGAGCTGAGTGGTGAAATGGTGGTGGAAGCTTTTCACTGCACAGATTATGAGTCAGAGCATGTGGTTGACACAGTCAGTTTTTTTTCCAGCCTCACAATTCAATCTGCAAAAAAGTCATTATCACCATGCCATGAGCAGAAGAAACTAGCATTAAATTTGATTTGTTAACAGCAAAAAAAAAGAAGTGAATGTCAGAAAAGTGGATTGAAATCAGGTCACACATGTATGTATTTTCTAAGTTAATGATGCCTGCAGCATAGGGCTGCTAAGCAGGGTGATGTTCTAATAAAACCTGAGACTAGCTGAGAGAAATAAAACGAGTTTTGTCATTATCTTTTATCTGTGAAAAAGGCTTATTTTGAATCAAAAAACATAATTTGAGTAGAAAACACCTGGCTTCTGTCTATGGGCTCTATTACTTCCCACCAAAAACTATAAAAACATGAATAAAATATAAGGAGCTGTGTGCAGTAAAGTATAGTTCCTAATAAAAGGCTCAAAGTAACAAGTCTTCCAATCCATATAGCCCACCCTTAAACACAGTCCACAGGGAACGGCCTGTGAACTATTGCTGCCACTACTTCTCATATTGAAAAACCAATATAAAACATTTAGTGCTTCCTATAAGTCTAAGTCATGTAAGCATTTAAATATAAAATGTATCATCATCTGCAAACGTTTCCTCAGAAGGGAAGAGATGAGTTGGATGGCAGAATTATGTATAGTTTCACACTAACGGGGACATTTAAGCCTTAAACAAATACTTACAGTTAAATGTACTGCAAAATATGTTATCTGAATATAGAGTAGCAAGAAAAGAATGACAAAACCAAGAAACATTCATCTCAAGTGTGTATTTGAAATGTTGTTTGAGGGCTTTAAACTGCTTTGGCATGTCTGCAAAACAAGCTAGCTTTTAAACACAGTCACAGAACTCTCACCCCTTTCGTCAGATATCTTCTGTAGACCACGCCCCCCTTATATCGGAGCCTGCAATGCCGGAGGAAACGAGATAGTGCTAAACACCAGTCGCCGTATTCTAAGTCCAAAAGACTTTTGTTGTCCGTGACTTCTAATGGTGTTTTTCTTTTTAGGACTCTGATAGTTTGTCCAGCTGTTTCTTCTTCTCTGATATTATTGATCGGAGAACTTCTCACACCAGAGGTGTTCTGTTGCTAAATACACCAGTGTGTACTGAGTGGAGGACCCGGGGAAGTGCAGAAGCACGGTCATCCAGTGAGACTGGTCCAATCGTTGTTTTCGGTCTGAATCGTGTTTTTGGCTGAGGTTTTTAGACAAATGTAAGAGAACCACTTTATTATTTTATTTATTTTTTATTCTTCAACACCATTAATATGTTAAGAGGCATGAAATAATGTTTAAAGCTAGCTTATTTAGCAGATTTGCCATAGCAGTTTTGAAACGCTTACTGATTCCAGCCACTATGTGGCACATGTCTTGTTGTAGCTTCCTCAGAATATTTCTGTGGTGAGTTACTTAATAAAGTGGTTCTCTTGCATTTGTCTAATAACCTTGTCCAACAACACGTTTCTAAACCCACAATTAGACCATCCAGTTGTTGGTCTCATCAAATCCCTGCACTTCCCTGAGTCCTCCAATCCTTACACACTCACGTATTTAGCTACAGAACACCACTGGTGTGAGAGGTTCTCCGCTCAGCAACAAAGGAGCAACAGCCGGCTGCTACCGCTTCAACTTTAGGACAAACTAGCGTCCCAAAAAGAAAAGCAGCATTTGAAGTCACGGACAATAAAAGACGTTTGGACATAGAAAACAGTGACTAGTGTCACTTGAGGGGAGGGGTGAGGTTTCCATGACCTTGTTTGCGTTCGAACCAAGCTTCTTTGCAGATTCGCTATAGCAGCTTTAACAAGGTTCCAAGTGGAGCTTCAACGAGAGTGAGACAAAACATTTTCTGATCCCTTTGTGTGTCCGTCTTCACCACTTGGAGAAATGCTCCCGCTCATCTCGTGGAAATGCCAGCATCAAGCACATCGCAATGAATTTTTGAAGTGATCAACAATAACGGTGAAGCCTTAAACTTTTGATAAGCTGTAAAACAGCCTGTTTCAGTGAATAAAATCCATGCAGAAAAATATTTTATCTCAGTCCCATTTCTTCTTGTTGCAAGGTGAAGCTCTTCTTGAAACCTTGTTAACATCTAACAGTGCCAAATTAGATCTTTGGTCATTTTTCAAGTGCTCTCATACTTTTGATCGGGACTGTATGTGCATGGTGAGTCATGGTTGTGTTATTAAAGGAGTAAACCGATGCAGATAATCACTGATATCACATATCGATGCCGATATCAGCTGATGATAAGTTTATATCCTTAATTATGAATCACCAGTCATTTAAAAAGTCAATTAAAATAAACATAAGACTCAAAAATAATTATCAGTTTTGTTTTATGTACAGTATGTATTTGTGTTTATAGAACTTGTAAGGAGATTTGCACACTACCAGGTTTCAAAACTCGAATGATTCCTAATTAAAAACAATATATTTTACAGTTTACATCAATTAAATGTGCTAACTAAACCTCAGAACAATTCATTCATGACACTGTTTTAAATAAACAAAATGCGCACTGTACGAACAAACAGGTTTGTTTACTTTTAATCAATGTCTTGCCTTAAAGACATTGTCTGCAAGAGAACAAGGAAATCATTCTCTTCACCACACCTTAGTCTCCTTTCACCAAAACGTGAACAAAAGACAAACAGCAATCCACGAGTGTGCTGTGATGTTTAAAAAGCTTCTGCTTTGGAGCCAAAATGGAAGCTAAGAACAAAATGTGACTGTCAGTGTGACAAATGCTGTCAGCTTGGATGGTTGCTTCCCTTGATGCGGCGAGTATTTTTGTTTTTCTGATTCCGTCCGTGTTAGCTTGCTGTTACCAAAGGCGTTCTGCCTCCTGCTAAATCACAGCGACGTACACGTGTCCAAAGGAAACTTTCACAGTTTCTGTCATGTTGCAGCTGATCGCTTTAATTTAGATTGTTTGATTTGCTTTCTGATTATCTTTTAAAATGCAAATCAGAAATGATCTAAATTTCCATTATTTTGCATAATTGTTCAGTTTTGGATGTTTTCTTTCTAACTGTCATAAGGAATCCAAAACCTCTAAAGCATTTTTTTTTCTTGTGGTGTTTCCTTACAAAAGGTAAGCAATTCTATTAAATTCACATTGCAGGTGTTTCTAAAGAGTGACCGCGTTGCTAAGATGGTCCAGAGCGGCGGCTTCTCGGCCAGCGACTTCAGGGAAGTGTTCAAGAGGCACATTGAGAAGCGCGTGAGAAGCCTCCCAGAGATCGATGGTCTCAGCAAGGAGACGGTGCTCAGCTCCTGGATGGCCAAATTTGACACCATCTACCGCGGTGATGAGGATCCACGGAAGGCACAGCAACGCATGACCGCCAGCGCTGCTTCTGAGCTGATCCTCAGCAAGGACCAGTTATACGAGATGTTTCAGAACATCCTCGGCATCAAGAAGTTTGAGCACCAGCTGCTTTATCAAGCCTGTCAGGTAAGTTGTTGAACCTGAGCGTGACACATGCTGGTCAGTTTCACTTTCATCCTCTTGTCAAAGTCATGTTGTAGAAACTCCCTCTTTACTTTAGTCCAAGCAGGTTTTATTAGATTTTCAAAGTTTAAAGACCAAGTTCACTGACAAACAGTTTTTTAGTTGTTATTTCTGAAATATGAGATGAAGGCCAAACATAAAAATAGTTTCCCTCTCCTATTTGCTGCATTAGCCATTGATAGAAAATAGAGAGAGAAATGCTCGGGTTAGAAAAGCCACACAGACCTACATCACTCTGAAAATTAGCATTCATAGGCTCGGTCATCTTAGCTCGCAGCAGGGAAGGCTGTTGTTGATTTAGCATTCAGGAGAGCGCAGAGCATGCCTCGGCTAGTTTAAGCTAACCCTTCGCATCGGCAACTCCACAACACAGCAAAACTCCATGTGACATTTGTAGAAATAAAACATCAATGTTCCAAAGCAAATGGAATCAGGGGTAGAGTCATGTTGCTGTTAGCAAATCAGAGGCGAGATGTTTGAATATCAGGAAATAAGACTCTACGTCCTGCTGTTTGCTGCTCCCCACCCCTCTGGCTCTACCTCCTGAAACAGGAGCTTGAGAACTTTTCTCCCCAGAGAGATTGACTCACATGGCATTCGTTTATACTAGAGACTAGGGATGCTCCGATCTGATGTGATTTTCAACAGATTGGAATCAATCGGGTGGATGGGAGTTGAAATTAACCATTTAAAACAACAAACATTACTTCTAAATTCATCCTGAGAAAGATTTTCAAATGAAACAACAATAGCTTAGTGTTCAATTCAACAAGTTCCTCTACATCAGTATTCTTTGTTTCACAGACAACAACGCCGTAAAGACCCACAATTTATGGCAGCTCGGGAATTCACACACCATAACATGTAGCTGTTAGCTAACAGGCTAATGCAGCGCATCCTCGTCACCTCAAGAGATGGAAAATGTCTGGATTTTGGATATATTTCTAAACAGACAGCAAAGGGAGTGTTATAGGCATGCACATCACTTAGAACAGCCTCACACTGAGTAAATAGTTTGAAATATGAGCGACAATGTTACTTTACATTAATTATTAATATTAACACATTTCTTATTAATGTACTTCCTGAACAAGTGATGTTTTGTGGCAGATTAACTAAAGAAATGACATAAATACAGAAAGAAAGAAATGCATAAATGATTTTAAAAAAAGGACAACTTTAGTAAATGGCCTGTATTTGATATAGCGCCTTCTAGAGTCATGGAACCCCCCAAGGCGCTTTACAACACAATCAGTCATTCACCCATTCACACACACATTCACACACTGGTGGGGATGAGCTACGATGTAGCCACAGCTGCCCTGGGGCACACTGACAGAGGCGAGGCTGCCGAGCACTGGCGCCACCGGTCCCTCTGACCACCACCAGCAGGCAAGGTGGGTTAAGTGTCTTGCCCAAGGACACAACGACAGCTACAGACTGAGTGGGGCTCGAACCTGCAACCTTCCGATTACGGGGCGAGCACTTAACTCCTGTGCCACCGTCGCCCACAAACTTTAGTGTGTTTTCTTTTTTTAAAATGCATTTCTAAAACATCAGATCAGGACTCAGCATCTGCAGATTCTTAACTCATTCACCGCCAGCTGTTTTTTAAACTCTAAAAGCCTACAACTGCCAACGTTTTTGAGCATTTTTACTGTGTTTTGAATATCACTGAACATTGTGCTCAATGACCATGTAAACACCGAAACTACCAAAAGACAGAGTAGACTCATTCTTACATCAGGAAGAATGAGTGTGTTTCTAGCTTTTTACGTTCTTTCACAATTCGTTGTCGAAGCGTGAGCTGCAGAAGCTTTTCCGGTTAGCGCCTTGCTTTTTTCCCAAAACGAACTTCTAATTCATGGATTATCTGCTTCCTGATCACGTGACGTGTGACACACATGGGTGCTGGTCAGCTTTAGAGCCGTGGTGTTTACTCTCAAGGTGTGGTAGCTCGTTTCCAAGCCCGCACCATTCACAACTCTAGCCGTCAATGTCAGCGAGCGGTTGGATTTCACATCACGACTTAAGTCATTAATGTCAGTGAATGAGTTAAAATCAAATGACTCGGATCAGGAGCAGATAAACATGATTGGAACATCCCTGCTAGAGACTACTGCAAATGTGTTTAAAAACGAGTGATTTAAACAGAAAAGTGCAGTTACAAGCTTTTAGAAGGCAGCCGGGCCTTTTTAACACGAGCTATCTCTCCTCCCTTCTGAGGGTTGTTAGGGCCTTTGTTGGTCTGGTGTGCACGTGAAATGTTTTGATCACATGCCTGGAGGTGTGAATTGCTGTGAAACTGTCTTGAGGATTAGATTCAAAGCTGCGCTCTTAAGTACTGGAAAAATGGAAACCCCATACCAGCACGTCCCCTTTGCATGACTTTATGTCCATAAATTTTAGCTCCCAGTTTTCATCTCACCCTGTGACTGTTGCAGTTACACACAACAGCTAACGTGTTAGCCGCAGCATTAGACACTATACAATTGAATGAGTATCCTGGAGATACATCCCTCGATACCAGACCAGTAATACTTTATTGTTGACGACATATGTTGAGATTGCTGGTAGATAATAGTGGACTCTGGGGTGCTGGTGTCAGACATAACTCTCCTTCCCTTGCTGTCTTTACTGCTCTCCCTGGGAATGCTGAAAGCAGCAGTAATGTTATCTTTCTGCTGGAGACTGATTAAAAGTCGGCGCCCGACAGAATGGGGAGGACACCTCTGACTCCTTTACAGCTGTTTGGCATTTTCCTCCACAAAGTCTATGCCCCCTTTGTTTTATCCAGATTACTCCTGCTCTCTGAAGTCCAGTTTGTTTCAGCAAAACTTTGCTAAACAATTTGTTTCAGGTGTCATTTTTCCTTCAGTGTATTGCTGATGTATAGATCTGAGCAGCTGGCACAAGCTGCTGTTAAACAAATTAGACGCTTCGGTATTGTTTGAATGTCTCAGTTGGAAAAAATCAATATAGATTCTGTTCTGCATGAGTGTTCATTAGTGTGAGCCTTCTAATGCAGGGGTGCAATACATCAACCGCAGCCCTCATATCCAGTGTGTATTTTTCCTCCCACTCCTTTGAGGACACCTAACCTAGTTTTTCTTTCTGTCTGATTTATGTTGGCTGCAGATCTGTTAACACAGGATCTCAATCTGCATGCACAACACAAAACCACCCCCTGAACACATTATGCTCAGAACAATAAAGGTCTCCTGGTAAACGGGTATCAACAGCAGATGCACACATTCTGCAGACATGCATATGTACTTTTGTCCCAGTAAGTGAGATAACTGGAACATGGGTGCAGGTCATGTGTGTGAGAAGCAGCACGTTTATTTTAGGAGGCTTCATTCCTGCTTGTGCCTCAACAGCTTCTGCAGCTGTTCTTTAGCGTTGTCTCATTTATGTTTGCTGCAGTAATGAATATATCTGAATGTGCTAGTGGTAACTTTGAGCATGTGTACTAAAGATACCAGCGTTGGTATGTAGCTCTCTACTGAATGATAAAATCCTGAGTTATTGCAGTCTACTCAGTGTGGTGCAGGATGTTTTGTAGCTTGAATCAGAGCCCAGTATTTTTTCTTCTAGTTGTTATTGCTTGGAATTAGCATTCTTCTCTTTCGTCGCTGCATCCAAGCAGTCCAAAAGAAGCACTGAGTTATTTCTGCCTCACGCTAAAGTAGAAGCACTGACTCAGAGCAGTGCAACCTGCTGCTTGTGTCAACCTGAGGCTTTTGGCTGAAGCAACTCCGAGCACAACCGAGCTGATTAATATTTGGCTCTTTGCCAAAAGGATCATTTCAATATGTTTAATTCATTTATAATTTTTCAGTTGGTACAGTTTTCCCATTTATTTAAATGCATCTTTGTTTATTGAACTTTTGAGATTTGGTTTCTTGTTCATTTAAAAGTAAAAATAAAAGAATTAACAGAAATCAGTTGCATACCAACAGATTTTAACCTAAAGATAGTCTACATCAGTTATCTTTCTGTGCGCAAAGATGGAATAACAAAACACTAAAGTAGGGATAATCCGGTCACGTGATCGGATCGGAGCTCAACTAAAAGCATTGTTTGTGCTGATGCATCATCATCTGATTGTACTGTAACTCTCCATCTATGACCCCAAAGCTTTAAGCGGTGTTTCTCTCCTTGAACCAGAAATGTCAGGGACGTGTTCTCCTCATTTATGGTGTTTGACTGAACTTACCCAATCCTGTCTTGTTTTTATTTTACCAATCACCAGCTACAGTGACACTTGCCTTGTCTCTGTTTTGTTTTAGTAGCTGCTCTCAGGAGGTTTTTTAGCTAATTATCAAAACAAATGATGTCAAAATGCCGCATGCAGCCTTTCTGCTGAGTCTGTGCTTTTATGCATCATAAAACTGCATTTTCACATGCAAATCTGCATGTGTGATGAAAATAATTTGAGTATTGCAGACTAAGTAGTCTTATTTTTTATGGCTTTAATTGAATGAAGTCTTGATTTCAATTTAGGTGAAAAAACCCTAAAGATCTGATGCCTCTTAAATCCTCACGGCTCTACCCTCAGCTGGCGATCTGAGGACTTGAGTCCTCTAAAGAGAAATCACAAGTAAATGTGAATTTCTTCTTTTGTCAATTTTTACTTTTGGGGCTTTAATGGCTGTTTTAGATTTTTTTTAAAATGAGATATAAAACTGATTTGCAGGGTTTTTTCTGCACAAAGAAAATAAAAGTCCTCATCTGACTTATTTTTGCAAATTGAGATGATTTCAATTCATCAGTTAACTGCAAATAAATATAAATGCTCGACATCTTAAATCTGAGGTTGTGAGAAATTTAAATCTCACATCCTCTTGCAAACAATCATTGGGATCCACTGATTACCTCTTTCTTATTCATTTTCTCTTTCCCTTTCCTCACATTTTTTAACCACAATTTCTTACTTTTTC